CAGCATTCCAGGGGCGGCCTCACCAGTGCCCAGGACAGGGGCACGGTCACTGCCCCGCTCCTGCTGGCCACACCACTCCTGATACAAGCCAGGATGCCGGTGGCCCTGGGCACACTGCTGGCTCATATTCAGCCGGCTCTCAACCAACACCCCCAACCAATGTCCAAGGTAAATCTGTGACGGGGAGGGGCAAGGGCAAGCCTTGGAGCAGTAGGCACCTGCAAGTGCAGGGCATGCCCTGTTCAGATGCAAACACCTCCCTGCCTGGAAGGCTGGCAGCGCTGGGGCACAGGGCTCTCCCAGGGTGCGACACTCATCCGTCCATCCGTCTGTCCATCCCTCCCTTTGCAGCAGCTGGGACCACACGCAGCCACACTGCATCTGCCCACCAGGATCTGTAACCTCTCCACTTCTCTCAGCCCTGCCTGTCCCACCCTAACGCCTCTTTTGCAACAGAGATAGGATGGGAAAAAAAAACCTAAAAAAAAAATAAATCAGTGACTTCCTGAGGGTTGGGGCAGAGCCTTTGCTCACTGTTGCTGCTGTGGGACCCAACACCAACTCCCTCCTGCTGCGGAGGGAAGCACCGAGCAGCCCTGGCAGGCACGGCCGAGCAGCAGGAGGGAGGAAGCACGGCAGCATCGCTCACGTTTGCGGATTGCTCCAACACTGTGGCGGGCACAGGGCATTGTGTTCCTGCAGGCAGTGAGGCTCCAGCTGCCCGGTGCCGGGGCAGGGGGCGGATGAGGACAACCCATCCGTACTCCAGCAGGGCTGGGGGCTGCATGATTAGGGGCTCGCCATGTTCCTCATTTGCTGGCCCGTGGCCCTGCACTTTGCAGGTGGTTTAGCAAAATCTGGCCCCCTCAAGGCAAAGGGAGCCCTGGCCTGAGCAGGGCCAGGCAGGGCAGCACCAGCCCCCCGGGTGGGGAGGGGGCAGCCCCGCTGCCTGGCTCCACTGCATCTATTTCACGCTCTGACATTTATTTTGGCTCCTTTACTCCCTCTGTTCATTAAGCGATGCTCGTCGCCATGGCGACTGCTGAGCCACCTGACACACAACTCCCCAGCCTCCAAACAAACACCACAACAAGGCTGAAATCACAAAAAGCCCCCGTGACCCCCAAAATGCTC